AACCTCATTACTTCATGAAGTTATACCACTCTCAACAGTTACATGCTATTCAGCACAGAAACTTAGCACCGAATTACCTGAATATATCAATCGCCAAGTTAAATTGTCTTATAGTCACTTCATCAAAACAATCAACAATGAATGTAATACCAAACAAATTACTCTCAACTGGATCTTTGACAAGAATCAGTTTCCAACAACCTTTCTTCAAAATAATCCAGTACTTATATCAACAATACATCCAGTCAACCACACTACATCACCCCTGATCAACCACAACTATCGACAAGCATTACGCAATGGATCAAATTCATAAATTATTACATCAACCTCTTTAATATTCTTATCAGTTCGTCTGCAACTTACAAGCCCAAATCATTTTCTGAGCTAAACATAATCATCAAATTTAACAAAGAGCTCAAAACAAGTGATAATATCAAATTCAGATCCCTAGCTACTTTCAGAACAAAATTAATGGCGGATCAACTCCCAACCAGAAAAAAACTTCACAACAGATATCCTCAACTCTATACTGACAATCTATGCCCATGATGTGACATACATCCAAAAGACCTAAACCATATTTTCACATGTCACCAAAGCCTGCCAACCTTAGGGAAAAAAAGAAACAAGCTTGAGACAATGATTTTTATTAACATTTCAAAAGGAAAACTCAATTCAATGGAAACAAACCAATTACTTCTCACCAATTTTAACAGATCTCACTTTTTCAATATCACATTAGGCAAATTTGCTCCACCATTCAACATCCTCCAAAAGAAAGAAGAAATCTCAAATTATTCTCTCAAAACTCTTTACAAAATCTGGAAACAATGCTCAGCTACCACTACCACTTCAACATTCTCAGGCATCAAATGGAAGAAAACTAATACTTCCAGCAGAAATATTACTACCAACTCATGAACTCTTAATACTTATTAAAAAATACTAGACACTTTAGAAAATTTCAACAATTACACTGATAAAAAAATATTTACTCTAGCTATAGTTTCATAGTTTTGAATAGGCATTAGCCATTCAATACCTTCAACATGTAAAGACCTACTTGGTCTCAATGTATACTGATTGACCAATTGTGATAGGCTACAATTAATTTAATTACCTTGTAACTAAAGATTGTTAATGTAATGACAATAAACCATGTTTAATAAATGTCTCGCATTTAATGCCTGTTTGCAATAAAAAAAAAAAAAAAAAATATAATAATTTAATAATTTAAACAAATGTAATAATGTAATAATTTAAACTAAAATTATAATTAAATAATATAATTTTAATAATTTGTAATATAGTAATTTTATAATTAATAATTGAATAATTTAATGATATAATTTATATGTAATTAAAATTTAATGACATAATTTTTATTTAATTTAATAATCTAATTTGTTTTATGATATAATTTATTTAATAATATAATTTATTTAATGACATAATTTAAGAAATAACTGGAAAATCCAAAATTAAGCTTAAATTATTTAATGACATAATTTAAAAAATAATGAAAAAATCCCAAATTAAGCTTAAATTATTTAATGACATAATTTAAAAAATAATGGATAAATCCAAAATTAAGCTTAAATTAAACTTTATATTTGATCAAATCTAATCATAATTATAAAAAAAAATTGAAAAAAAAACCCATTTTCACAATATTTCTATCTGTAAAAAATTGCTTTTTTAGAAAGCTTTACTCTTTCAAGAAACATTGTTTAATGGAATATGTTCTTTTGGGAGGGGACATAAACCGGAGAATTTATTTAAAGCAGTGGAAGTTTCAAGAATAAAATTGGTCCCTGGGGTTTTTGGCAATAGAACTCACGCTAAGAGGTCTAGTGACTAGTAACAGCACTGGGCAATAACTTGGAACAAAGAAGACGAATAAAAAGAAAATTTTTTATATGAAGGCCATCTCTATATATAACTGCTACAAAACAATTATATCTCACATTCTTAACTTAAAAACAATCATATCTCACATTCTTAACTTAAAAACAATCTTATTCTTAAGAGGCAGTATTTTTTTTTTTAGAGTTTTTTTGTTTTTTGCTAATTATAATTAGTACTATATTTCATATAATCTTCTGGCTAGTTACTAGTTCTCATCAATACAAAAATCACAACCAGCTTACTCTTATCTAATGATCTGCAACACATAAAATATCAATTATATTCTATATTACTTTTATACATCAAGACAACATAACAACTTATCAGATTGGAAGAGCATGTGATCAATGCCCTATACAGGTTCTGGTAATTACAATATACGGCATATCACCACAACAATATAATAGACATCTGGAATATATTCCAGTTATCTTATTATTTATATTACAACATAATCAAATTATATAACAATATCACAAAATATTACATGACCAAATCCATCGAGTTACATGTGGCTTGCACAGTGCCGACATCTGACTGAAACATCTAATTGTATTCAAGAACCATATCTAATAAAAGTTTTAATTTTTTTCTTTTCTTTTTCTTTTTGATCAAATATTATACAATGCTGGCGATTTTGCCTCAAATGTTTTTTTATTTTTTATTTTTACAACAAATAGTTCTTTAGATATTTCTTGTTCAAGGATTTTTCAAATGATATATTTGTTTAATGGATAATAGATTAATATTTATAGTGATATAATTCATATCTTAATATTAATTATATAACAAGTTAAACTTTTACTTTATTAATAAAGATTATGAGTAATACCTCACTCTAACATTAAAAAAAAAAAAATTCAAAAATAAACTCATAATTCAAAAAAATTGTAATTCAAATCTGGAAAAAAGAAAAATTGGAACCTGAAAAAAAAAACAAATTAAACTAAAATCCGAAAAAAACAAAAACTGAAAAATAAATCCAAGACTTTAAAACTTGAAAAAAAAAACAAAAACAAAAAAAAGAATGAAAAATAGATCCAAAACCTCAAAAAAAAATCTAACAAAAATATGAAAAAAAATATATATTTAAAATATAAAAAATAAAAAAACAAAAATTCGAAAAAAATAATATAAAAATTTGAAAAAAGCCAAACAAAAAAAAATTCAAAATCCCCAAAAAAAATAAATCCTAAAAAAAAAAAAAAACCAAAACCTGTATATTTTTATTTAATTATCTGCATATACTTTTTCATCCCTATATATCGAACTTTAACTTCTCAGATTTTATAGTCACACAGAATCGCATTTTATATGAGTATCCTACCAACCCTTTTAGGGTTAATAATATATTTGAAAAAGTCATATCTGTTTTGAATATATAAATCTGTAATTATAGTTGATAAATTAATAACAATAGAAATTTGTATAATAATGAAAGAAGAATTATTAAATAGTTTTAATTTGGTCTGAATAATTGTTTTAGTTGAAGCATTAAAGGAGTTCTTATTTTATTTAATATTAGTGAAGGAGAAAATATTTGTTATAGCATAGTAAAATATCCAAATTGATTTGTATAGATAAGTTAGAGTTTCTATTGATACTTAAACTTATTTGAAAAACTAGTTATAAACAAAATATTATCAGTAATATTACATGCAAGTTATGTTAATTGCCAAGCATGTAAGATTAATTTATAATTATTTTTAGTTTAAAGGATGTTGTTAATAATATTAATAGATTGATTGACTTTTTCTAATACTATTAAACATTTGAACATATGTTGAATGTCTTCAATATAAAAGCTAAACTTGAAACAATATGGATTTGAATATTTATTTGAATATAATTTGTAAAGATTGTCTGTTATAAAAGTATTCTTGAAAGTAACTTGATTTTGAAGACTTGGATTGCTAACAATAAATTTATTAAAATATAAAAATATATAATAAAGTAGAATAAAGATTATATTTTAAAACTGAATAAATAAATAACTTAAAAATATATTTTTAATTATATAAAAATAAAAGTATCAGTGAAAGATATCTTATATAATCTTGAAGCATAAATTTAAATAGAATTTGATTTGTCTATGTTTTGAAAATAAGAAATTTACTCAATATATTTTTGAGAATCTGTTAGATAAGAAATTTTCTTCTTATTAATTATCATTGTTGAATAGAATACAATTAGATAGATAACAAAGAATTAAAATTGATATTTGAATTTTAAGGATCACAACATTTTTTTTGAAAATTCAATATTTTATAAATAAGGCAAGATGGACTATAATGGTCAACAAATAGATGATCAAAAAAAGTCAAAGTTTTGTAAAAGAAAGAACATAGATCTTATTAAAATTAACTATAATGTAAATTTGTTTTTTTTATATAAAAAGCAAATTATAAGAGAAGTTATTTATCACATAAAAAATAAACTTATAAGATTATTATCTTTTGATATAATAATTTGGCATTACTTGTCTTAATCGATATGAAAATAGAAAAGCTAGATCCTGTTGAGAGAATAGTTTTAAATATTGATGAATATAATAATCCAATAGTTTATTAACTTATTAATTAGTGGACAAACCAGATCAAGAAAAATTAATGAAGTTATCAACCTTTTACTTAGGAACCAGGTGTATCAATTGTTTAATGGAAAAAAGGTAAAACAATATATATTAAGAATGATGGTTTAGTTTCAAGATATTGGAGCAGTAAAAATGGTATGTTATTCGGTATATATTAATACAAAAAAACTTACTGTATTATACTCACTTTTCTCATATAAAGAAAAACCTCTCGGTTCTGAAAACATATAGGAGTTGAAGTCGAATCTTATAGCAAGTATTAATTGTTTATTAGGCGATAAATACTATGTCTAACTCCTAAATATAATTCATTAGCAAAATTCATCACCGCTTTATGACGAATTACTTATTCTATCGCTAATCAGGTTAGCGATGACTCAGAGTCAGTTAAGAAATGGCCGAAATAATTAAAGAGTCTTTATGATAGGTAATGATGTTACCATCACACCTTATGTAGGATAATTTCTTAACTTATTTATAGGAACTAGCTCGTAAGATGGTACCTAGCCCCTTACCACCAATTGTTCGGGAAACATGTAAAGAGTTTGCGTTTGATTATAGCGAACTACAGATGGAGGTCTTATCAGAAAAATTGGTACATTATAAATCTTGGAAAGGAGACGAAATTCTCGTGGAAGTTACAAAGGGAATCCTCAGCGTCTTGAGTGATACCCAGCATTTAGTCCAGAATTTATAGAATCATAAACATCATTGTACCTACAATTCGAGCTGTGCTAAAGATCTTCCCTTTGGGAAATCTTCGTATGTTAGCACGCAAAGTTATGTTTTCTATATTGTTAGGCGTATTCAGAGAGATATTAATTTTATCTTTATTTATCTCAGAGAAACAAAGTATTGCTAGTGCGGATAGAAGAGGTGAAGGGCATTCTGGAAGACGACCGGATATAAAGTTGTATTAAATATGGTGATTATATTTATGAACTCATATGCTGAATGTTCTCGCATAATGTGCACCGAGTGTAAAAAAATAAATGATAGCGTTAAGTTGTGGAGAGAAGTTAATGATGGAGTTTTTTGGACCCATAAAGGATGTTATTCGGAGAAGGATAATTGAAATCAAGTTGCTGGTATGTTTTTTCTCTTCTTCATATAAAGAATCAAATCTATTTTTTAATGTAAAACAAATTTTTATAGGGCGTGAAATTACATCTTAATGTACTTATCAGGGATTCGGGTGATGTATACATATTCTCATCTTAAATCAACAGAGAATTCGCGGGTATATTGTAACGAGAGCGCAACTTAGAATTTTACCTAGTAGCTAACTTCTTTATATTTCATAGAAAATTTTAATTGTCAATGAGTCATATTTCAAAAAAAGTTCGACTGTTTCCTCCGATCCCGAGTAGATTATAATTTATTTTTATTTTTTACATCAATAAAGCGGCTATTTCGTATATTTAATCGTGATCGTTTTTACATGTATATTTCGTGGAATTTATTATATTATAATGTTGTATGTATACTAACTCATAATTTGATCAAGAATTTTCTTGCAAAGTGATCGGCGTTACAATTTGTAACACAGATGAATTTTTTATGTCTAGAATATTATAACGCATTAAGCTGTAAGGTAAAGTTATCAGTAAAAATAGTGTATAGTTGTATAGACAAGGATGATAAAAATAAATGTAAATACTCTTGCTTGTGTAATGCCTCAATGTATTTTGATTTTTTCGCATTAATTCTATTTTTGATCGGATACATATATTATTGATAGTCAGTTTGCACTCAACGGTAGTATCATGTAAGATCATCTTTATCCTCTTCGCCATCATCATTAAAGACCTAATGATAAAAAGGAAAAATGAATTTACTACGCATGGTAAGATGAAGACATAATAATAATGGAAAAATCCCTCTACAATACTTTGAGTTCGTAGTGGTGGTGTAGTTAGTATATTATTTACATCATGTTTGTCTTGACGAGCTTTTTTGGAAGTACTCTCTTCAAAATCGTCATCTTAAAAGTATTAAAATACAAATAGTTAGTTTGGCTGATTCTATAGTTGAAAAATGCTCATCAGTACATCTTCTTAATCCCTTTTCTGGATTTATTTTGTAGCACTGTTGGACTAATTAAAGTTAATTTCACCACAACCTTCTGTTAATGTTGAATTTTAAACGTCTATTGATTGTTTTATCTGATTTATTCTTTTCCCAACTTCTTGCTAAGTCATAGTCAGGTCTAGGCTCCTAACAAAGATTTATAAATTAGTAATATTCTTGACATGTCTTTGAGTTCCATTTGTTTTTACCCCAACTGGTCAGCGTAGGGCTTTTACATCAGACAACCGAGCGGGTCATCTGTGCCCACCCAAGGCTTTAAACATAAACAACCGAGCGGGTCATTTATGCCCCAGTGGGACCAGTGCTGAATCAGGCGAGCGGCCCTTTTAACATTAGACAACCGAGCGGGTCATCTATGCCTCAACACTAGTTTTATGGCTCGGCGAACGGCCGTTAATGACAGAAACCGAGC